TCGCAGACTAAGTTTCCTGGCTAACTAGTTAAATCTACAAATGCATTGTATTAACGCCAATATGATAATCCCTTGTTGTTTCTTATTGGTTGGATATCGTTTTAAAAAAACAAAGCAGTTCTATAAAGACAAAGCCGTAAGCCCCGGTGTCAAACGCTCTTTGCCAAACGTATATTCATATGCAAATGATATAGTCACACTTGGGGTCAAAAGCCACATGTTTTCGGTGTGTACGAAACGTATTTTCATTATTATTTTTAGAAATGTAGTAGTACTATTATTCTAAGTTTTGATTTTTGTCAGTATTTTTGATATTGTATTTGTTTTTTGAGATCAAAATGTGAAAAAATATATATTTATGATGTAAACAATTTTGACCTCGTGATCCAGCGAGCGTGAACTTCCCACTCGGATCGCATATCGTGCTCAGATTCGGATGAATTAAGTGAAGCATAATTGAAAATAATATATTCTAATCAAGATACGTGTGGAAATTGGAGTGACACTTGTGTTATTTCTTGGAAGAAAAGCCTCAATTTTACGTGGTATAACAACGGCGACAATTCGTAATTCAGACCTCAGTTGTCTCGAATTGTTCACAATTGTGTTGAACAGACAACATCGATGATTAAAAAAAATACTGTACATAAAGATGGATAATTTCAGCCAGAAAAACTTATTGCTCGAACATAGTAGCGTAAGTATCGTGACTCCTAACAGTTGTTGTACTTAACCGGAAAACAACAGAAACGGAAGACAAGCAATGAGAATAATCAACCCCATGTTTAATTTACCGGGACTGAACAGGATTTTATAAAGTTGCTGATTGCTGGGCCAAGCAAAGGAAAAGAAAACTCAGTATTTCTGCAGGACATTTGCAATACTAAACATGCAGTGCAATAATTGTATATTGATTGTACACAAAATAAATAGAAAAAAATGAAAAAAAACTGGTTTTGTTTTATTTCTCCATATGACAAACAATATGTTAATTTTGCTAATTATATGCTAATTATGCAAATTAGTCGCGACTATGAAAAATTTCTGGGGAGAACACTGAATATATTAGGAGCAGTGACAGAGAAAGTTTTTTTAAGTTCTTCGTGTAAAGAGGTGTTCATATGCAAGCGATTTTCAATGCAGGGTCTATGGTTTCAGCCAGGGTCCATAGCACCAAGAGCCAAATGATTTCAAGACTTTTCCAGGCCTTTTCCAAAACTGTCAATGTCTTGCATCCCCCTCACAAGACATTTTGACCCTTAATTCAGGCCAAATGGACTTTTCTACAATTAATTAATAACTAAGAAGAAATTTAAAGACTTTTCCAGTCCAATTCCAGAGCAACTGACAAATTTAAATCTGATTTGATATATCAACAAGCAACCTGTCGGAGCTGTTAGCAATTTCAATTAAAGAACAGAAGATATCATTAGAAAATGAACAATATGTACAGTATCAAAGCAACAGGACTTGCTGTTTTCAACAAGAATTCAAAAATATCACTTCACCAAAAATAGATAATTGAAGATATCACCACGAAATGAACAAATCTGAAAGAGGTCCACATACACCAAGTATCAAAGCATTCAGGCTCGTAGTTTTTAAAAGGAAGTCCAAAAGTTAAAACATTGACACGGACAATCACTCGTATGATAAGCTCCGCTCGTCAAAGTCAACAGTGGAGCTAAAATTGGGCTTATAATTATTTAACATTTGGGTCTATTGTTTCATACCCAGGAGGTTGTAATGTTCCGCCTGCTCGGTAAGATAAACACTCCAGTCTGACTGCTATCGGAACTGAGTTCCGCCCACTCACTAATTAACTACATGCGGCCTTTGCACGATAGCCAATCACACGCGACTCTTGGCGTACCTGTTAATAAACTGAATACATTAACTAACCATATATGGGAGATGGCAGGTAAAATCAACGTTGATCATGTTGGCGTTGTTATCCCAGTTTCTCCAGCGCTGTCGTCGATCGTAAGTGGTAGAGTTCATTTGAGTTATTTTTGTCTGAGTTCATGTTGTACCGTTTTTTACCACAATCTGGATTTAGTTCATCGTTCTTTGTGTCACAGCAGTGTAGGAAATTCCTGCCCGTCCGCACGCCCGAGACGGGTAACTTTTGTATCGGACTGGGTGAATTTCAAACTTCCCTGTCAGATGGTCGGGTAACATGTTACCACATTCTTCCGCCGAAATTAAAATAAAAACAAGCTACCATTCTTTATATGTGCTCTAAACATTTTAAACAGAAACGTGATCAGCCAAAACTATGAAAATATTGCATTGCCATCTCACATCGCGACTTGCCGACACGCATTCTCAACCCACAATCCATTGACTTATTAACATAATAATAGGTACGTGACCTCTGGTCAGGTCCCATCTCCCATGGTGCAGTGAGACTTCCGGTGACCCCTGACCAGTTCTATCGTTGCGTAGTTTGTTTACAAAGTTTTCATTTCGCGTACAACATGTATCGTTTTTTGGGGATAGACCCTCCAACAAAGAAACAGAAGTCGAGCATCGATAGAATTGCGGCAAATAAGGAGTATGACCAGTCAAAACGTACTCGCAAAATAGTTCCAAGCTGGAAGACGGTGTTCAAAGAATGGCTGGTCACCGATGACACCGGTAATCATACGGTGTATTGCCGTATCTGCCGGGCTATTATCAAACCGCAAAATTCCAGACAAACTCCGTAAGTACGGAAAGGGATGTACCAACTT